AACTTTGCACACGGGTCAGAATCCGCGGCCATCAGGGCCGGGCTGAAGATGGTACCCGGGCGTGGCAGGGGGGCTAGACAGCGCCCCCTGGAACGGGGTCCGAAAACTTGGTCCATAAATCAAACACGCTTGCATGTAATAATATGAAACTCGGTGCACATATAGATCTCATCGTTCATATATACCTCAAACTATTACTTTTTACCCCAGCCCAACAGGAAGTCGGTTATTTAGGGTTGTTCATAAAACACTCGCAATGGAATTTGAAGTACTCCTCCTAGAGAATTCAAACACACGGCACGAAACTTGGTCAGCATGAAGTCAAGGCATTGAGGATGAAAGTTTGCGAGGGGATTTTTGATATCTCGAACGGTTTGGCCGTGGCGAGGAAAAGAAATTATGGCGAGAATCGTGAAACAGGAAGTGTGTCAGAACTTCAGCATACATTAACTGATCTTGATGAAACTTCAGCAGTTTGTTTGCTGTAAGAGGACGATCACATGGATGTGAATATTGTGAGTCAAAGTTATAGCGCCACCAACTGGCAGCAGGAAGTGTGTCACTTTCAAAATGCTTTGAAATCACCCTCTTATTTTTACCCGATTTGCTTCAAACTTAATCTGTATAATGTAAATACATAGCAGATGAAGACCTGTGAATGGATTCTTGATATCTTTGATACTGTTGCCGTGGCAACGCATCAAACTTTAAAATTCTTTTTTTGATGATTTTGAGACTCTTAGCGGCTTTTGGGGCCCTTAACGGGTTTGAAAACTCTTGAAACTTTGCACACAGGTCAGATCCCACAGCCATCAGAGCCGGGCTGAAGATGGTACCTGGGTGTGGCAGGGGGGCTAGACAGCGCCCCCTGGAACGGGGTCCGAACACTTGGTCCATAAATCAAACACGCTTGAATGTAATAATATGAAACTCGGTACACATGTTGATCTCATCGTTTCATCTATACCTCACACTCTTACTTTTTACCCCAGCCCAACAGGAAGTCGGCTATTGAGGTTTGTTTGTAAAACGCTCGCAATGGAATGTGCAATACTCCTCCTAGAGAATTCAAACACACGGCACGAAACTCAGTCAGCATGAAGTCAAGGCATTGAGGATGAAAGTTTGCGAGGGGATTTTTGATATCTCGAACGGTTTGGCCGTGGCGAGGAAACGAAATTATGGCGAGAAACGTGAAACAGGAAGTGTGTTATAACTTCAGCATACATTAACTGATCTTGATGAAACTTCAGCAGTGTGTTCGCTGTAAGAGGACGATCACATGGATGTGACTATTGTGAATCAAAGTTATAGCGCCACCAACTGGCAGCAGGAAGTGTGTCACTTTCAAAATGCTTTGAAATCACCCTTTTATTTTTACCCGATTTGCTTCAAACTTAATCTGTATAATGTAAATATACGGCAGATGTAGACCTGTGAATGGATTCTTGATATCTTTTAAACTGTTGCCGTGGCAACGCATCAAACTTTACCATTCTTTTAGGATGCTTTTGAGACCCTTAGCATGCTTCAAATCGCATGAAACTCGACAGACACATCACATTTATTAGCCAGTAGACATGTGCAAAGTTTCAGAAACGGGCGTGGTGAGGGCTCAGTAGCACCACCTTTTGACAAAAGTGGGGTTGTTAGTTTTAACTAGAGTTACAAAAATCGGTATGTATATTGTACTCCTCGAGCCGGACAACTTTCTAATTGACACTCATTAGCTAGGACCCACAGAAAGTCAGATATCTTTGTTTGAATGTAGAGAAAATCTTAGAATTTTGCCAGTCTCTCAGTGTCTCTCTGTGTGAGTGAGAGGAGGGGCGCCTGTCAGGTTAATTTTAACCCTTTATTTGCTGTGTACGACTTCTCTGGCATTTTCGGGGGCCTTAACATCCTCTAAAACTCTTGAAACTTTGCACACGGGTCAGAACCCATGGCCATCAGGGCCGGGCTGAAGCTAGTCATCGGGCGTGGCAGGGCGGCTCGACAGCGCCCCCTGGACTGGGATTCGAACATTTGTCCATAAATCAAACACACTTGCGTGAATTAATATGAAACTCGGTACAATTATAGATCACATCAGGCCAAACAACTTTCGTGCTCTAAGTTTTACGACAATTAAAATGGAAGTTGAGAATTATGGGTTGTTTGAATAGTTGTCCTAGGAGAAATACATCAAATTACAACGCATATGTTTACCAATCACAACCAAACACGGTGTGCAAGAAGTCAAGACATTGAGGATGAAAGTTTGTGAGGTGATTTTTGATATCTCAAACGGTTTGGCCGTGGCGAGGAAACGAAATTATGGCGAGAAACTTGAAACAGGAAGTGTGTTATAACTTCAGCATACATTAACATATCTTGATGAAACTTCATCAGTGTGTTCGCTGTAAGAGGACGATCACATGGATGTGACTATTTCGAGTCAAAGTTATAGCGCCACCAACTGGCAGCAGGAAGTGTGTCACTTTCAAAATGCTTTGAAATCAACCTCTTATTTTTACAACCGATTTGCTTCAAACTTCATCTGTATAATGTAAATACATGGCAGATGAAGACCTGTGAATGGATTCTTGATATCTTTGATACTGTTGCCGTGGCAACGCATCAAACTTTAAAATTCTTTTTTTTGATGATTTTGAGACTCTTAATGGCTTTTGAGGCCCTTAACGGGTTTGAAAACTCTTGAAACTTTGCACACAGGTCATATCCCACAGCCATCAGGCCCGGGCTGAAGATGGTACCTAGGCGTGGCAGGGGGGCTAGACAGCGCCCCCTGGAACGGGGTCCGAAAACTTGGTCCATAAATCAAACACGCTTGCATGTAATAATATGAATGAAAAACTTCATCTGTATAATGTAAACAGATGAAAAACTTCATCTGTATAATGATGAAAAACAGATGAAAAACTTCATCTGTATAATGTAAACATACGGTAGATGTAGACCTGTGAATGGATTCTTGATATCTTTTAAACTGTTGCCGTGGCAAAGCTTCAAACTTTGAAATTATTTTAGGATGGTTTTGAGACTCTTAGCATGCTTGAAATTGCATGAAACTCAACAGACACATCACATTTATTAGCCAGTAGACATGTGCAAAGTTTCAGAAACGGGCATGGTGCAAGGACTAAATAGCGCCACCTTTTGACAAAAGTGGGGTTGTTATTTTTATCTACAGTTACAAAAATCGTTATATACATTGTACTCCTCAAGCCAGACAACTTTCTAATTCATAGTCATTAGCTCAGACCAAGAGGAAGTCAGATATTTTGGTTTGAATATGGTGAGACTCTCTCTGAGCCTACGTCCGTGTATGGCAAGCCCTTTTAACATTTAAAAGCTAAGTTTGCCTATCCGGAAATTAACATTGTAGATATCAACAATGTCTTTCTGTCTAGTCGTAATTACATTTTGGATAGTTTGTATTATCATTTAAGATATCTGTAACATAATTGTGACTAGTCAAAATGACAGACTAAGGCAAGCCGTTTTAACATTTAATCATGAAAGGGCCAAAGCCTTCGGCACCGCCACCCCGGTGCCTTTAGGTAACTAAAGGAGCCGGGGTTGCGGTGCCACCGGCTTGGGCCCGCCATCGCTGCTCGCAGCTATATTTTTGACTGTTGCCCTCCATGCGACACATGTGACCTGTTATGCTTGCGTTAAACATACAACTGAGTTAAATTAAATGTCTGTGTTGATATCACATAGCCTGTAAAGAACATGATCAGATCCCCTAAATAAAAAAATTGAGAAAAAAAATATATATATATTTGTGCATTTTCACATTTAATATTTAATTACATTTTTATACTTATATGTTATGCTTAATGAATATTACTATAAATATTAAAACTATAAAATATATTATTATAAATATTTTATTTAAATATACTTATATATTATTTATACTTTATATATAATTTTTAGTGTAATTTTCATTAAAATAATGTCTTATTTTTATGTATTCCCTTTCTTTATTTTATTTTGGCAATTTCAATTCAAACAATCTTTTGAGTTGGAAATTTAATTTCAAATGTGACATTTGCATAGCATCTCTTTTGATTGGTGGATTAACAATATGAAATTCATAATCTGTTATGCTGGGTATCAAAAAGATGGTCATAAGAAAATGGTTAAAGCCAAAGTCACTTTCTATTAATTAATGGATGCATTCTCAACAACATTTATATAATATATAAATATTTTTTCCCCTCTTTTTGAAGTAATAAATTAAGTCTAAAGGACTAAAGAGGACAAAATGAAGCCTTGATTAGTTGCATCAGATGTGCTTGAACAAGGGTTGAATACCGCATTTTTTGCGTTTTCAGCTGAATTTGGCGAAACCACTTGAAACGTTTGTTGTGTTGAGGTATTTCAATTACTTTTTGTTTGATTTGTTCATTGCAAACAGCTGAAAGTCTGTTGATTTTGCCAATAAACCTGAATAATTTTGATTACAACTGTCTGTATGATTGATTGATATTCACCCTAAAACATCCATCAAATTGTTTTCCAAATAAACCCACATAAACTAAAATGCTGATAGCATCTCCAGTTCCTTTCACACTCACACATTGTGAGTATAATTTAGTTTGAAGAACATAGTGGCCTCTGATTTTTCAAGATTGACTTGAGGTCTTGCTCTAACTGTTGCAAAAAGATTTGCTCACAGCACCCCTGAGTACTGGGATGCTGGGAATGGCTCGTGAAATCAGATTAGTAGAGATATAATTGTGTTAGTGAGAGTCTTGAGTGGCCTGTGAGACAGAAAGATCAGCCTCACGCAGGTAATCCATGCAAGCTGCTAAAAGTTGAAGCAAACAGTTCAACTACAGGTGAAAAACGTGTGCCCATTAATCTCTTGCAAAACAAAAAATTTAATTGCACATACACATGCAGCTTTATTATTTTGTCCAATTTTGTCAGTGAATTGAATGTGATCTGATGGCTAATGCCTCCTTTTTGTATCTCTTTCTCTTCAGAGTAAAGAAATCACCTTTCAGCTGCAAGAGGATTTGATGAAAGTCCTCAATGAGCTCTACACGGTAAGTGTTGTACGTTTTGTAACATTGCATCCGGCTACACCCAGGAGTGTACTATGGTAAAAGACCCATAAAACCGTCTATACTTCACAGATACTTTTCCCATCTCTGACCTTGGTAGATTATTGAGTTTATACCAATAATCAATAGTTAATTCCCTCACTTTAATTACAGTTGTCAGGCCCACTGCAATTGCTCGGAAGATTCATGTGTACTTTGCTTTCCCTGCGGTCTTAATAAGATGCTAATATATTCCCAGGTTTTCCCCTTAAAAACCACCTCCAGACTGAGGACTTTTTCCCTTAAATCTCTGTTGTAAATATTGACTATCCGATTTTTTTTTGGAAACCATGAATAGAAAGTTTAAAAGAAAAGCATTTATTTGATAAAGCAATGTAAAAGTCTTTACTCTCACTTTTGATCAATTTAATTAATCTTAATTCAAACTATACATTTTTTACCAACAAAACTGCCCAAAATTATTACTTTCAATATTACTAAATGGGTTTCAATTAGAAATTATGATTTGGTTTGTCTTCTCTTCGAGAAACCTCAGCCCGGATTCTTTTCTTTTAAAGCTGTCACATTTATTCATTTTATGTACGTTTGTTCTGGTAATTACACCACACGCCATTTGCTTTCTTTTGATCGCTGTAGAAGTGTATCATCCCTTTTGACCTGAATTAGCCTTCGGGAGGGAAACACTCTTGTGGGTTGGTTGCATCAGAAACTCTCCATGCAGCCACAGCCAGTAAAATAACAGGTCTGGTGTGACTCTAAAATTGGTCCTTCTAAAACCAGCAGAAATGTAAACAGAGTTCCAGACCAGTAAGTGGAGAGCTGGGCCCATGGTTTGGTCTGCCATTCTAGCCATGCGTCTAATTATACAGCCGTGGACAGCAGTGCACTGTGCTGCTCCGACTGTACATATTTATGTACAATATTTAGCTTGGTCCACGTTCTAAGTTGTTTTTTGCGGCTTTGCTGTACCATGAATTATAATGCGTGACTGCCACCGTGATTATGGCCTGGACTGACTCTGTGTTCAGGGTCTGATCGTGAATGGGTCCTTGTAATCAGCTTGGTGCTCAGTCACCTTTGATTGAGGAGAAGGCAAGCTGATGAGCGGAGATTAGCGCTTTAGCGTTAGCGTCAGGCTTTGCAAGAGGCTTACAGAGCACAAGGCACAAAAACATTACAATCATTCTTAGGAACTTGCCACCCAAATAAGCGTTAGCATATATTGGTAACAAGACTGACAGAAAAACATGAGAGAACAGCAGCTGTGATATTTTTTTCTTTCTTTCTTTTTTACTGTCTTACTTGTTGTTAGCAGTTCATGCTAATGCTCATATCTAGGATTTGTGGGGGAAAACACAAACCCCTTACACTTAAGGATTAAAGTTTGGAGAGTATATCGTCCTCCACTATTTGTGCTACTTGATATCAACCACTTTCTCATCCTCCATCACTTTCTAATCAGTTGCTCTAACAAATCTCGCCAATTTTAACAATTTTTGCACTGGCCCATTCCAAGGTTTTTTTCGCTTCTGTTGATTTAACCTGATAATATGGCGAAATGGTGGGGTTATATAGCCATAAGCAACGCCCATTCTGGCGGTTTTTGACATGCTTAGGCGCAAAGCTGCCTGATTGGTTCGCACGTCTAAGCCGCTTCGCCATAGGATGTGCAGTTGATGCTTTTCGAGATTTAATTCGGTTGTAGAATGCAGTTGTCACTCCTGTAAATTTCTGAACTGTGTGTGTACAGAACAGGATTAAGCACTAAAAGGTGAACTGACAACTGAATTTAGCTGCAGTGTGTACGTTGCCATAGAGACTTACATCTGGGTTTGTTTGACTTGCCAATACCCAAGGAAGGAACCATTGATGCATACAGTAGATGCCTCATGTGCATTAAATGAGTCTTGCCTGTCACGACAAGCAGCGTTAGCATTAGCCTTAGCATTAGCGCTGTTTTGGCTAAAGGTTGCAGGCGCGCCTTCTATACGTATTACGTAAGCTTTCCGTGATATTGAAACAGTCAAAACACTGGTCTGTGAACACTTGAGAGAAAGTTCTCTGTGATTCTGCAACCATAGTAAGACGCATGTATGAATATCTACCGTATATCTGCAATAGATTTCAACAGATAATTTTGCTAAACTAACACAGTACAACAAGACGAAGGCATCAACTAATACGACATTAAACAGTTACCATAGTATAAAAACTTGTAATGAGTCAGTGTGTATAAAAACAAATTCAATTTTTCCCATTTTTCCGGAATTTAAATCTTTGTGGTTTCACAACCAGAAGCTGCGCAATTTTGTGGCATCCTTGATTCTTTTACACCGTTTACTTTCTTTGGAACTGACATCTTTTTATACATTTATAGGAAAGGAGAGTCTGGAATATCAGCTGCATACTGTGTTCAGTCATGCCATGCCAATGTTACATCAATTACAACGTGAAAAAGCTTTTAGTGTCGATTAAGCACTCGCTCTTTGTGAAGAGTTTGACATTGTGGGCATAATTAGTTTGTTAGTACAGGCTCATAAGCTCTGAGTCACATCCTAATGCTTGTTATAAAATTCATCTGAATATGACTAATAGCCACCTAAACAAAACAGTGACTCAGGCCATCTGAAGCAACATTTACCATTATGTCGCACATTCACTTCTCGGTAATTGGATTTCTTCACGGGAGTTTAGGACTCAATAATATGCGTTTCATCTAAAAATTCTCCGGGATTGATGAAAGATGTTGAGTAAGGTAAAAAAAAAAAAAACAGATTAGGTGGAAAGGCACAGTACAGCTGATTCTGTTTAAGATAAGTGCAATTATTAGCATATGTCAAGTAGAACGTTTTTCCAATGTAATTTTTTTTTTCATTCTCTCTATTAGTACTAGTAAAATTATATATATATTTTTTCTGCATAAAATATAAGCTCCATCATGGCCAATGAAGAGGCTAGAATTTCCATGAGAACTTTGAAAGCATGTACTTAAAAAGCAAATTACGTTATATGAAGGAGAAAATTATGCATTTATGTTATTTTAAAATGTCGATTGGTGCTTTTTATCTTTTACATACATACAAAGGAATATACAATGCTGTTTCTTTGAGGGACAACAGAACTGATTTGTATTAAGTATGAAGATGATTTTTTTTTGGCTCAGATTGAGCAGCTGCTCTAGTAGCTCCCTAGAGCTCAGTTGGCTGTTGTTGAAATTTGACCTCTGACCTCTGGTCCCGCAGGTGATGAAAACCTACCATATGTATCACACAGAGAGCATCAGTGCTGAGAGTAAACTGAAAGAGGCAGAGAAGCAGGAGGAAAAGCAGATTGGACGTGTTGTAGACCCCGTCTTTCACATTCGACTAGAAGAAAGACACCAGAGACGGAGCTCTGTGAAGAAGATTGAGAAGATGAAGGAGAAGGTACATAAGAAATGGTCTTAGCAGTTCATAACCAGGAGCATGACTAACCATCCAATGAAACTGAATGATAAAACTTGTCAAGAATTGTCGGCATCATATTCAGAAATAGAAAACAATATTTTAAGTAGACATCATTTTATTATTGAAATAAAAAAGCTAATTTTGTGATTTTAAATTATAGTATATATATATATCATTATTTTGTAAAATACGGTTATATGTATCATAGTAATACTTGTACTACAAATTAGTGGAAAATATGACCTAGATTTAATTTAATTTGCTATTATTATTATTAGTATTTGTAATGCGCCACCTCAAACAAAAGAATAAACACAATAGAAATACTATTTATTTATTTATTTATTTATTTATTTATAAACAAGTAAAATAAAGTTAGTTTATTTATTATTATAGTATAAGTATATATATATATATATATATATATATATTTATATAATTATTTTGTAAAATACAGTTATATGTATCATAGTAATATTTGTACTGCAAATTAGTGGAAAATATGACCCAGATTTAATTTAATTTGCTATTATTATTAGTATTTGTAATGCGCTTCCTCATAAACAAAAGAATAAACACAATAGAAATACAATTTATTTATTTATTTATTTATAAACAAGTAAAATAAAGTTAGTTTATTTATTATTATAGTATAAGTATATATATATATATATATAATTATAATTATTTTGTAAAATACAGTTATATGTACTTTGTATCATAGTAATATTTGTACTGCAAATTAGTGGAAAATATGACCCAGATTTAATTTAATTTGCTATTATTATTAGTATTTGTAATGCGCTTCCTCAAACAAAAGAATAAATACAATAGAAATACAATTTATTTATTTAATTATTTATAAACAAGTAAAATAAAGTTAGTTTATTTATTATTATTATTATTATTGTTGTTGTTGTTGTGAAGTTAATGCATCAGTCATGTTTTTTTATCGAAGCCATGCCTGACCCTTTTTTAACAGGAATAGCACGGTTTTATGCTATTATTATGTCTGTTTTCTGTTAAAGCCTGTGACAAATGATTTAACAGCTGTGGGATTGTTTTTTCCATTGATGCTTCATGGAACGAGACATTGTGGGAAGGTTAAAATATGGAAGTTAGCATGAGTCACTGTCTGTTGGTCAGTCAGTTGACTTAGACGACTAAGTGCATCTGAATGTTAGCATACAGGAAGCCATACTTTTTTCTTTACAATACTTCAAATGACATCCATTGCTTTCAGATTTTTTTTTTTGTTGTAACGTAGATGTTCCCAGTTATTCCACAGATGTCTGTAAAATCTATATAATGATTTTTTTTTTTTTTTTTTTGCAGTCTATAAGCTTATATGTGTCTGTTATTTTTGGAAAGACTTGTTCTCTGTTGTTTCACAAGAAATCTTCACGGAACAAACTGCATGCAGAGATAAAAGCTCACTTGCATGTTTTTATATTTCAACCCTTTTTCTCAAATTCTGTCTGTTTTGTTTATACTCTCTCTCTCTCTCTCTCTCATCAGAGGCAAGCCAAGTACTCGGAGAACAAGCTGAAGTCGATCAAAGCTCGGAACGAATACCTGCTGACGCTCGAAGCCACTAATGCTTCAATCTTCAAGTATTACATTCACGACTTGTCTGATTTAATAGACGTAAGTACCGGGGAAAGAAAAAGAGGTGCAGGGTTTCTTTCTCAGATGAAGAAAGTTTGTGTGACAAGTAGGACAGTTATAAATAGAGTTTCAAACTGACCTCAGGTCTGCTGGGATGGCTAAATATGACAAAGACTGCTGCCGTTTCCCCCGGTTTCTTGGTTGAATATGTATCTTTGTCTACACCTGCTTTGATCTGAGGAAATGCATAGATTCCTCATTGAGAGTTCTGTCAACGTTTCATTCAAATTTAAGCTCTTGAGACTTCAAATGCGGGCGTGTCTGACAGGAGTGAGATGTGAGAATGAGAAAATACACTGTGGTTAAATTGCATTCATTTTCATATCTCCAAACAAGCACACAAACCTGTTATTTGAAGATGTTTTATGAATGTTTGAAAAAGAATGAGACGTTTAACACAAATGAGGCACATAAGTGCTCTTTGTGAAAGAGATGAAAAACAATCCTTCTAGACTAGAGACAAGGGTGTCCAATCGTGCTCCTGGAGGGCCACTGTCCTTGAGTTTAGCTCCAACCCCAAGCATCTAATCAAAGACTTACTAGGCATGCTAAAAACTTCCGGGCAGATGTGTTGAGGCAAGTTGGAGCTAAACTCGACAGGACAGTGGTTTCAGGAGCAGGTTTGGACACCCATACTGTATAATAAGCAAAGAAAATAATGGTGGTTTAAACGTGTGGGTGGAGAAACCAGAGGCCTTCTCCTAAAGAATCAGACCAAATTAAAACGCTTTTATTTTGCATTTTTATTTCTAGGTAATACTTCCATTTGAGTGGTTCATGTTATACGGTTGGTCCGATTTTTGATCCAAAAGAGTTCAGCCATTTGTCTGTCAAGGTATCACCTTAAGGCCACCTTTACACAAAGCTGGGTATTTAGCGAAACGAATATTTTCCCTCTCTCCGTTTTCAAAAATAACATTGTTCATACACCCGCATAAATACGCCATCGAGCGCCATCGTAACTATGCCAAACCTATTGGCGGCAGTGTAGGGAGAAGGATAAAGCCATGCAAGCCAATCAGAATCCTCAGAATTGACAAGAGAGAAACTAAAACGCCGTTTCTCCCAGTTCACACGACAACATATAAGCGGCGTTTTCAGAAATTTCCACTTTGGCCGGAGTTTTTAGAAATAATCGTTTTCTGTGTTAAAAACGGGGTTTTCGTGTAACCGAGAGGCCAATCCGCAGGGAAATTTCTGTTTTCCCTTCGTGTAAACGGGACCTAAGTGTCTTGTGTCGACACGCCCCATGGAAAAGAGAGGGTAGGGGTCGCTGTAAACAGAGCTGTTTTTGAGGAGGTAAAAGGGTTTTGCTTTACACAATCATTGAGGAATTTTAACCAAAGTATGTTACAAACTTTACATGAAGACCCTAAGGCCGTGTGTCCACCAAAGTGTTTTTAGCCAGCTGAAAACGCTAGACGCTCTGCTGAAGACGCCGTGCATTGGGCGCTTAAGAGCGTTTTGGCAGCACAGCGTTTTTTCCGTTGAGATGTTTCGTTGCTATGATACAGAATATCCGCAGCAGTTTGAATGTTGACAGTTGGTCGGTGTGGTATTAGTCCCGCCCCTCCTCCACTGTGATTGGACGGCTGGGTAAAAAGTGACAGTGATGAGCGCTGCGTTTTATCCAAAGTTGAACATTTTTCAACTCCCAGCGACCAGTAAAAATGCCGGGCGCTTGGCGCTTCAGCGCGAAAAAAAAAAACCGCTCAGCGCCTCGGTACGCTCATGGCGTTTAAAAAACGCGGCGCTCCCATTGAGAACAATTAAAAACATATGCCAGGCGCGTGGAAAAACTCTTTGGTGGACACACGGCCTAAAGAATCATTCCAATTTGTGGAAAATGGACATCCAATGACCTCTTTAAATCTTTCCAAATTCCATTTCCAGGTGGACATTTTGTTATGTGGACTCTTGTGTATATGAGGTGGCTGTTGTCCTACTTTCATATTAAGGGCCTGTAGGTGCCACAGCCTCTGAATATGGCAAAACAATTTAAAGCATGAATGGAGAACTGGCGGTAACTGGCCCTAAAACCAACCTTTCTGTGAATCAGACAGCCTGCATCTCTTTTAGGTCAACTAATGTTATAATGTACGTTTTCGCACTTCACCCTACTCAGCACCTATCCTTTACTAGTTTGTAGCCACAGCCTGAATCGTAGTCAATTCCAGTCAGCATAATTGATTTAAAAATAAAAATACAAAATAGCTGTGCTATCATGTGGCTCTCAAGTTGAGCACTGGCACATGAACCTGCACAATTTCAATGAAAAGGGGCATCAAAACTCTTCAAAACAGTCAGCAGGCCGACAAACAGAGCTGGCCATGATGATAATTAAAAGGTGATTCGTTTTTTTGGTGCGAGATATGGCAGATCTTCCAGGGACACACACAGTCAAAACTTAAATAACCTCCCCAAGGATGGCCCAGACATCTCAGTTTCCCATGACTCCCATATCAGTCAAAATTGAATTATGGAAATTCCTGCCAGGAAACAACCAGGCTACTGGGCTTGTTTGCAACTCTCCTCAGAGTCCAAGGCCTCATAAGACCTTACACCAGAGCACAGTCAGGATGTATTAGGTCACCTTGGAACGGTCAGACATAGGGTCAAAAATATTCACAAAGCAACTGTTACTGATAGACCAGTACATCATGCTGGGCCCTTGTTAATGTGTTTGGAATCTTAGATATTAGCTTTGAGTCAGACCTGATATTTTTTTAACAAGGCCTAGTGCTTACAAATCTTGGCTGGTAACCAAGTGGTTGTAGGTTTGAGGCAATTCAAGAAATGTCAGTTGCAGTTCACAGGGAGGGTCATTTAAACTTTTACTACACTTTACAGTAAAAGTGTCAGTTAAAGAATGGTTTCACATTTTAAAAATCATAACTTTTAATTAAAAAAAAAATTAGTTAGGTTTTTTAGTTAGGTTCATATTGATGTTTTCATATTTTCCAATTACATTTTAATTTGTTTCAGTTCAAGTTTCAGTCATTTTGTTTTGTATCTTTTTTTAAATAAATGAGTCTGACTTTATAGGTTTACTTCATTTTTATTTCAGATTTAGTTTGTTATTTTAGTACTTCATCTTAAACTAAACGAAAATCTGATTTTTTTAGATAAAAGCTTAAGTTTATTTATTTCAATTGAAAGTTATTTTATTACAATTAACAGAAAATTGGTTTTGATGGTTTTAGTTTTATTTAACGATAACTACCCTACGTCTTTAATAGGTAACATTTCTCTCCTCTCTTTCTTCCTGTGTAGTGTTGTGATCTGGGATATCATGCGTCTCTGAACCGAGCTTTGCGGACCTATCTTTCGGCTGAATATAACCTGGAGACGTCTCGTCACGAAGGCCTGGACATCATTGAGAACGCAGTGGACAGTCTGGACCCCCGTAGTGACCGCCAGCGTTTTATGGAAATGTACCCTACCGCGTTCTGCCCACCCGTCAAATTTGAGTTCCAACCACATATGGGAGATGAGGTCAGATTTAAACAAATCCTTACCCACACACCCACGTACATATGTACACACACACAGTAGCAACCACACTGACACCCATTGTTTGTTTAATTTACATTTTAACACCATGTAAACTGGTTATATGGGTTTATTTTCTTAACAGTCTGTTATGTTGTAGTATTATCTATCTTTTTTTACTACATATTTTTGTGTTGTATTATTTAAATGTGTCTGGCTTCCGCTGCCATCCTCTTCCAGTTATTTTAGCTGTACAAAAACAGACCATAATGCTCCCTATATTGTAATCTATTATTTATCATCATATTATTTTAATATATTAGCGTACTTATAAACAAACTGGTTTGTAGCGCAGATAGTTTTAGCATTTATTGCACTTTATTTACCTATGACGGATAATGAATGGGAAGTCTTCCACATTTATTAATTGATAATTAATAATTATAAATTGATTATTCACAGAAAAATGCAAGAACCTTAACCAAATGCAAATATCAAATCTTTTTCTTTTTAAATGTTGATATTATTTTATAGATTGCTTTAATTTTACCAAACAGGATTGGATGTTTTAAAGTGGGACAAACCAACTTCTTCAAATCCATTTCTAATTGTTAACTATAGGATGATATTATTATAGAAGAAAAAAAATGAAAGAGCACCTCCGAAATTCCCCGCTATTTTTTATTTTAGAAGTTATTATACCCAGGGACACGGTAAAATAGCACCTCTCAACCCAAAATAGTCAAATTATATCAAATTCATCCCTCTGTTCACTTTAAATGTGATATTGTAGTACTTTGTAAAACAAAAATAACATACTGTACATTTAATCTTTTCTTAATATTTTGAGACACTACTAAGTTCGGTAGTGTATTTGTGAAATATATTATAATATGTATTTGAGCAAAAATACAGTTAATACAGTACTATTATGAAGTATTGTTAATATTTTAAATAACAAATATAATTTATTCCTGGATATTTTGGCATCATTACACCAGACTTCAGTGTCACATGATCCTGCAGAAATCGTTGTAATATGCCGATTTGATGCTCAAGAAACATTTCTTATTATCAGTATCGAAAACAGTTGTGCTATCCAGGATTTTTTGATGAATATAAAGGTAAAAAGAACAGCATTTATTGGAAATTAGAAATCTTTTGTAACATTATAATGTATTTACTGTCATGTTTAATTATTTAAATGAATCCTTATTTAAAAAAATAAAATAAAATCTTACTGACCCCAAACTTTTCAATTCTAGTGTATATGTGATAAAGACATGAATATGTACTACATGTACTACTATGTATGATAGTAGCACTGACCCAAACCCTTCACCTTCCAAATAACCTGCAAGCAGACGTTGCGTTTCATTTTTAACATGATGCTCCCATCAGCAGCTCCCATCCATTAACCTCATGTTAATCTCGTTTCTGGCAGTGGTGAAGCGTATGAGATCACACAGGATACAGAATGGAGAAAAGCATCTTAATGAAATTCAGAATTATATGCAGTCAGGATTGCTTTATCCTTCTTTTATTGAGTCTCAGCTGGCAGCGTGGTGTTTACGCAGAGCGTTGGGAACAAATCATATTGCATTTCTCACCCTCCAGCCGTTTTTAGAGAGTGTTTATTGGATTTGTTCTCACTAATTGGCCATTTTGTCACTGATATCATGTCTGCGCGTGGTTTATAACCTGTTGTTTTGTGGTCATGCCTGTACTCTCTTGGTCAATGAAAGCAACTGGGGTTTTGCTTCATAAAAAGTTATAATGCTTGTGGCAGGTGTTGGTTATTTGTTTGAATGTGAGATTCTTCCTTAGAGAGCTATGTTCTGTAATGGCAGTTGTCCTCTTGATTTCTTGTGATTGTGAAGTCTTTGTTTTTGTTTTCAGGTGTGTCAGATCACGGCCCAGCCTCCCGTGCAGGCAGAACTCCTCCTGAGGTTCCAGCAGCTGCAGTCCCGTCTGGCCACCCTAAAGATTGAGAACGAAGAGGTAAGGTCACCCCAAGTGCTGGCAGATATTTAGAATAGTTAAAAATGACATTTGCAGCCGGTTTTAAACAAGTCCCTCTTATCTTTATAGGGCCCTATGATTTGTTCCTCTTATCTTTATAGGGCCCTATGATTTGTTCCTCTTATCTTTATAGGGCCCTATGATTTCTTCCTCTTATCTATATATTTCTGCATTGCCGAAAACAGACTGAATCACGGTATTCAGTCATAAAAATAGAATTTATATAGTATAATGTGGAATGTCGCATAATTTGAGTTGAGAAAACTTCTTCATATCATATACACCCAGAAACTCTAAGGTCTTCATGGCAGCCCAAGAGTTGTGATAGAAATATATTATTGTACAATAGAATGTACTTCTCAAATAATGCTGAGTGCTTAAAGGAGTAGTTCACTTTTAAAAAAAACTTTTGCTGATAATTTACTCACCCACATGTCATCCAAGATGTCCACGTCCTTCTTTCTTCAGTCGAAAAGAAATTAAGGTTTTTGATGAAAACATTGCAGGATTTTCTCCATATAATGGACTTCAATGGGAACCAAACGGTTCAAGGTCCAAATGAGAGTTTCAGTGCAGCTTTAAACAACACCAGACGATGGATAAGGGTCTCATCTAGGACCCTTCGAGTCATGACTCGAAAAATGATTTGTTCATTTTGATGAACGGGTTTGAAAAGGAGAGTCACGAACGCTCATCACAGAACAGAGCAAGGCGCGCATTTGTGCTTATAAAACGTAAACTTTTTTATTTATTTTTTTAAATGACCGATCGTTTCGCTAGATAAGACCCTTATTCTTCGTCTGGTTTCATCGTCCGTTTAAACCCCTGTGAAGCTGCGCTGAAACTCTCATTTGGACCTTGAACTGTTTGGTTCCCAATGAAGTCCATTATATGGAGAAAATCCTGGAATGTTTTCATCAAAAACCTTAATTTCTTTTCGACTGAAGAAAGAAAGACATGGACATCTTTGATGACATGGGGGTGAGTAAATTATCAGCAATTTTTTTTTAAAGTGAACTACTCCTTTAAAGGTGAAGTATTACGTTTCTGCGACACTAGTGGCACCTTGCGGAACTACAAAAATATAGAATATTTTGCGGGTCACACATCCCCCTCCCCAATTCAGGCATCACAGCTCTAACGGATGCTTGTGAAGACGTCTCAGCAGTTAAAAGTCGGCTACTTTCCATAAAAGTACATGTTAGGAATGCTTTTAGCTGTGTTGCAATGCATCATGAGTTTGCAATTGAGTAGGCCAACACTGTCTAGAGCAAACACAAGCTTCTTGCTTATAATAAACCCATCCAACGTATCTGGACGGGGCACATTTCTTTGACTTGACACCACAAATATTTAAGTAACATTATAAACTTAACTGGTACATTTGTTTTTCTGAACTGGCGCATGATGATGCTATATGGTATTGCGTCTATTGTAGCGTGTTGCGTTACAACACCCTGTTCTCTTTGACTTGTTCATTAACCGTTTAATCTTTGAGGTCAAAATGCAGTAAATATCGGCTTGCACTTCTGTAACCAAAGCTGAATTTCTATTCCCATGCAACACACCAGTCATGATCCCACACCAGCTAAACACCCTCTGGCCATGAATGGCATATAGTAGTCAGTGAACAATAAATTGTATTAAACAAAATAAAATCTAGCATACTACACCTTTAAAGGGTACATATCATGCTTTTAAATCATTCATTTTTACATATACTGTAAATCATACCTTTGTGGTCTAAAATAAAACATAACTGCAATGCTTGGGTCTGAATTCCTCATTATTATAGCTCCACAAGCCCCCTGTCTACCCCTTTTCTGATTAGCGACCCGTTTCAAAGTGGCCCCTTCAAATAAAATGGAGTTGCGTCATACCCCGCCCGCTCTCCAGGTCGATGAGTTCACGGTCAGTTCAACTCCCCACGTTCGGCCATTATTGTAGTTTGATTAGAGATATACGATTATATACAATACCTTCAAAGAACATTTTTGTTCACACGTTAATAAAATGTCAACAACAGAAGACTTGTCCATCAAGCCTTACATATTCAAACCAGAGCGAGCGAGTTGATAAAGACGACGACGAACCTGCAGAACAACCTCTTCATATGGATGTATTGGTATGCGAGTTAACTGTTTTGTGTTATTAGTGAAAGTCGACTATTTCTCTTGTTAAAACAAGCACACTGACAAGATAAAAATGACTACGGTCTACTCTTACCACAAACAATCTGTATTGATAATATGATACGTTTAGGAAAGCATCAGAAAACACAGCAGCTAAATGACCATTGATGAAACTCAAGAACAATAATACTGCAGAGGTGTAACGTTACTTCAAAACAAAGACAAAGAAAGACAAAGGTACTGCTAAACCATGACCACCATGTGTTTTAAGAAAGATAAGTACTTTATTTTTATTAACGAAGTCAATCGGCAAACCCTTCTTTATAATGGCGGAGGTCGTTGAAGTGGGAATCCTTGAAGTGCTTCAGGTCACTACATCCAAAAACCGAATATTTTGACTTGCCCTCTCGTAACTTCTGCATCATTGAGCTCGGACTAAAAAATCGGAGCGAGAAATAATAATGGCAGATTGCTCAAAGTGTTGGACCAGTAGTCAATGTCCTTATTTGGCAGTTCCGCTGCAAATACGGTGACGTTATAGTTCAAAAAACACAATAGAAAACAGAAAAATCTGAACAGGTTGAAAAATATGACCAAAACAGAATATAAAGATATAAACGAAGCACCTGAAGAGAATAATTTCATCTTTTCTGTACTTATAAACACTCCAAATATAAAAAAGTGGCTAAAAAAGTGGATTTTGCATGATATGTCCCCTTTAAGACTTTCCCAGAAATGAGTGTGCAGTTCACTTTGGGTTATAAAGCATCTGCTAAATAACAATTGCATCAGATGATCACCAACGGTATTAAAGGGTTTTGTTCATTTAAACGGCATAATTGAATTTGAAAATCTTGTTTAATAAGTTAGCCAAGTCCAGGAGCACACAACCAGTATCGTCCTGTTGCATTAGAGCGAGACAGCTTTGCAGTGTGTTTGCTTAATTGAGTTGGCAGAAGCTGATCGTAAAAGAGGCTTTGGGAGGACTTACAAGAAATAGTTTTTTTTTTCCTCCCTGCAGAGTTTTCACTGTCCTCTAGATAACCTGTGTGACGCACAGAGAAGCTTCTCTCAGTGGCACCATCTTCCTTTTCTTCCTTCAGACTGTGTCTGTCTTTTTCACATTTGATACTGTATCTCCTCCGAGGCTGCAACATTTTAATCAGTTTTTAAGTTAAATGCTCGGGCTGCTGCCGGGGAAAAAACCCCACTCTGTCAGGAGTCTTGCTTTGTTTCTTGGCTTTATCATGTCCATCTTAGATAAACGAGTGTCTTACATCTGCCCTCTTCTTCTCTTATCTCATTTCTGTTATGTCTCTACCATGAATCTTTTTCTCAGTTTTGACAGACAAAATCGTAATTTAGCACGGAGCATGTACATGTGATAAAGATTATGTATATTGTTGTTCCTGCACAAATTTGACATAACATGTTATGTAGGTTAGAAAGATCTGTCTGCAACATTCAACTCGGCTTTGGAATTGGTTATTTCTGTATGAATATTGTTTCAAGTCCTCTGGACTTTCCCCACAAAGAGCTGATGAATCATCTGCTTGGAAGAACGATTGTTCAGGCCACTGTCAGTGTTGTCATGGAAGTTAAACGGTCCTGGAAAAATGGCCAGCTAACTGAAATGTTGCAGGTTATAGTATAAATATCAGTCTCTGTATAAAAAGAAAGACTCGTGTAACATTTCAAAGAAGGAAAATCTAAATTTTGCAGCATGTTGTCAGGGTTATGTTAAGTTCTGTTTAGTTTCATTGTGTTTTGCCTGTGTTCCTGGTCATTTAGTTTCCATAGTTACTCATTAGTTTCTCACCTGTTCTCAGTTCTGTTGATTAATTTTTCTGTGTATTGAAACCCTTAGTTCCCTCTGCAGGGCTGGACATTAGAAACATAGATATCCACAATAAAGTCTAGATGTCCTACGGCGGAGTTTCTATCGTCATCACCGGCGGCCATCTTGTCACAGGCAAGCTGATGTAAGATGAGTGATCAGCACGAACACAAATACTCTTATCTCGTTGAAATCTTGACGGATTTACAAACGGTTTGGTTTCTTACAAACATTATTAACGTGGCTATAATTCTGGATGATTATTTATTCATAAGTATGCAGTGTCATAACTATAACAAACCAAACTGTTTGAAAATCAGTAGAAAATTGAGCAAGTTATGGTTATTTAAAAAGTACATGCACCATTAAAACACAATGTTACGAGTGAGCGAGCTGCCTGTGACAAGATGGCTGCCAGGTGCAGACGTTGACCTCCATTGGCCAGCAGTGTGGATGAGATATCTAGCCTTTATTGTGGATATCTATGATTAGAAACTCAAAGTGGAAACAAACTGAGGTAAAATTTACAAAATGTTTTTTTATTTATAACATATTATATAGTCAAACCAAAACGTTTTTGATATTTTACTAGTGGGTGTAGGACACTATAGTTAATTTATGCAAGTGAGGATAGCAAAATAACCCCCAAATTCTTCATACAGTGGGCTACCCGTGAAATTTATAAAAATTTTGGGACCAAAAATTATTCAGACACTTTTAGGTATAACTTTAGTTAAGTAACATGACCAAGGGGGCTGTTTTGCAGAACATTATCACGTTTACAAATGTTACATCGATTTTATTGTTCAATAAACAAGTAGTTACTTACAGTTTAGGCACAATATTGACTATTCTAGTTCTATTTCACCAACGAAAGTAGTTCCCAACAAAGATCACAGCTGAACTATTGTGCATTCAAAGCACCACTCAGCTGTGTTGTTTTACTGAATAATTTAGCGTTTTGAATGAATCAGTTGAGTGAATTCCTCAGTGACGTCTTATTTGTATAT